TTGATGTAAGCTTTGTAAGTTTTTATATTTATTAAGAATTTTGATTTTTTTTTTTTCACTAGCTAAATATTTTGAACTTTTTTCTTTAACTAAGCATTTGATTTAAAACCAACATTTACACTTAATTTTTTACTAGGACTGCATAAATATTTATACATCTAAAAGTATATTTTTTTGATTAAAAATTCATAATATATTTTATATATATATATATACAAACACCATTATGATCAACATTAATCTGACTTTGATATCAAGTTTATTTACAACTTCACCAATCCCTATCCACCAAAATTAATATCATAAAAACATTCAATATACTCCATTTTTTTTATATATTAAATCAAAATTAATTATTATTTTTGTTTTTTTGAAAAATATCAAATACTTTAATATGTGTATCCACACTTTTTTATTACTTAATGTATTTAAACTTATAGGAACAAAACGATGATACATTCTTGTGCCAAGAACAGTTCTACCATCTAAATATTTTTTTTTCTAAATTTGCTCAAGTTTGGTTAATCTCCTTTGAAAATAACTGCAAATGCATTTTTAGCTTTTAAAAAGAGTAAATTAAATAAACATCTAAAATCTGCCCATTAGTTTCTTGTTTTAGACTTTCTTAACAAATTACTCTTTTAACAGTCACACCAATACCATCATGGCAGGTTTTACCATGGCTGGTAGCAAAAAATACTCATTCAGCAATTAATTGATGACAAAGATTGATCAAGTTTTAAAATTGTGCAGCCATTCACAACAGGAATTCACAGCCAGTAAAAACATACTTTAAACATGATACAACTGATAGATTTTCTTTGATATACTTAGTAATATCTGATTAAGTCTTATAAACAAACTCTGTGATATGATTAATATCTTCTGAAAGATAACAAAAAGATTTTTGTTTGAGAAATGTATTTTTTTGAAAATAAATTACAAATATAATAAGTGAACATCGATTTTTGCTCCAATGATAACTTTGAACTTCATCCTGAAAAATTAATTGATAATTTTCAGTAAAATCTCTTGAAATTAAACATTTTGGTTTACATTTTCTTTACAGCTAATCAAGAATCTTTTTTTTGTGTTTTTACTATAAATGAATGTGTGGTAAGGTGTCAATGCTGTTACATAAGAAATAATTCAACTCATGTAGTGGCAATGATTGTAACAGTAGTGTCGTTCATATCTTCTTCTTTTTTTAATTTTTGAATACCAGGACATAGCTTACATTGATACAGCATACATTCTGCGCTTTCAAGAGAACAAACACTTAAACTCATAAAATCTTTATAGCTTTTATTCCACCAAATTGCATCAATTAGAAATTTTTGCATTTTTGTGATGTATGTATACACATACATTGTACGTACCTGATGCATTGTACGTACCTGATGCATTAGTTGTAATGCACCACTTATGTTCCAAAGTACAAAACTTTGACAAACTGACCTTGAAATTAGGATAGTCTTTTTTAGATGCAATGTTGTTTTTTCTTGAACATGTTGATTTTTCTCAGCACTAAAAATATCTATTTTTCCTGGCAAAATTCTTAAAAACACATCATTTTGATAAAAGTTAATTACTTCAGTACTATCTGGGCTGTTCTGGGGAAAAAAAGTTTCCAATTTTTTTCTTGGCAATAATAGAATCCCTTGCTCATTTTTAACATGTCTTGAAGTTTGAACAAGATACTCAAAATAACTAGAAGGGCCTGTTCTAGGAAAAAATGGACTTTGGCGGAAAATCAGCATTTTTTTTCGTGAAAATAACAATATTTGCATAAAAAAACATATAAACATAAAAAAAAACACTTCAAAGTATTTCAGGGTGGCCAGCCACTTTGTACAATTAAATTCTCTCACTTATATTTTTTCCTGATATTTGATTCTAGTATTTAAATTTTTTAACTCTTGCTTGTAAATGTTTACCAGTTTAATAATAAAGATATTATTAAGAAAAAAATAATACAAAAGATATATATTATATATTGTGTGTATATATATATATATATATATATATATATATATATATATATATATATATATATATATATATATATATATATATATATATATATATATATATATATATATATATATATATATATATTATTCTTATACCATATAAGTTATACAATTGTAATTTAAACTTCAGACTTTTCAATACTATTACTATAAAGTGAAGTAACTAGTATTTTAAAATGAAAATAAATTAAAACACTGAAGCAGATCAAGCTTTAAAACTTATCAAAATAACAACAAAGAGTTTAATAATAAAACAAAAAGCAGTCTATCAATAGTATAAAATAAATATGGATGTGTCAATATATAAACAACATATTTGGTTTGCCTATTGTTCTTTTGGAAATTTTGAAACTTTAAGAATATAGTTCAAATCTTTTTAAACAAAAACAATGTAAATATGTTCATTCCATTTTGCATGATAGCATTTTTAATTCTAGTTCTAATCTCACACATTTTCCTGATGATGTTAATTCGACTTTGTTTTTTTAACATTTAATTCCTTAATTTTACTGCAGAGCAGAAAATTAAAGAATAAAATTCTGGCATATAAAAGAGGTTAAAAAAACATCCAACCTATCCTTATAAACATTGCAACTTGTAAATTCTAATCTATGGATGCCTTTCACAAGATCACATAAATCTTGATAATGATTATTGATCATTTAGATTCATGAAGAACCATGAGTAACATTCTGTTTTTTCCTGAGTCAAAGTTAGAACATATAATAATGGGGTTTATACTTGTCTTTGGGCAAATCATATAGTCTTAGTAAGTTCATATTTTTAAAAACTTCTTTCTCTCAGTTTATTAACAACTCCAATGTAAAACTGAAAACAATCACTTCAAAATTGCAACTTCATTGACATTCACTTA